AGTCACGACATCACGTGATTGATCCCGTGTGACTTTTAACAGACGAACCAAAACAATCTGGAAAATCCATCTTCCCGTGACGCCGTAGCTATTTTAGGTGATAATTAATGGTCACATGAGAGTTTGTTTTGTATGAAGATTAACACCTATGCGAAAAGCGCTGGACATATATCACGTGACGTCATCATGTCCATACATCATCGTACTTCGGTTAAGATTTTATATTTGATCACGCTAATCATTAAGGAAGAAAATTACCGTAAACAAAACATATAATGCACTATAAAATGTACTACATCTGGTGACGAGATAATTTACATTTAATTCCTTGGTATCCATTGAACAGCAGAGTTTGTGGATTGAACATAAGTTTTTAAACTTTTGTCCTACATCAACAAAGCGATTGGGATGTTATAAACACACGAAACTAATCAAATAGACAATCGCGAACTTTCGAGTTTGTCATGACATACTCAATGGGTGCAAAGCAAAGGTGATATTTTTATGAAGAGCAAAACCCTTTGTTTTGAAGATGTACTTTCCTATGGCACATAGTTTAGTTATCTGATTCATAGAATGGCTTATATATGACATTTCGTCTTTTCGCTTTGTATCCTGTGAAACGACGCCAAGCGAACAAAACAAAATAACGAAGCCAAGTTATTCCACCAAAGTGAGGAGACTTCAAATGTTAAATGCATCAAGCTATATAACTAAATAACGCAAAGGGAGGGAGAAAAGACACCATTTCATATATACGCTTTAACGTTATTTTTACTTTGGTTTGGCTTTTTCATTTGTTATTTCGCTTTGGCGGGTTTTCGTCGCTTTTGTATAATTAATATCGTTATTGCACATTTGCGGGTTTTGGCTTTTCGCTTTGTCGCTTGGCGTTTATTCGCGGGCGATATAGCGAAAAGACGAAATGTCATATATAAGTCACCATAGATTTATGAAAAAGAAGTATATTAACACCCCTGCATCCGACACACAAATTATAAGTAAAAACATCGGAATCGGTATGGTACAATATCACTATTCAAGTTAGTCAACGTAGCGTCAACTTGAAGCAGCACAATGTGGCGTCAAAATGAGGTCACGTCCTAACCCTAACCCTATATAAATGCTCATTCTGGGCCTTCGTACACTTTTCGAACGCTTCACAACAAGCCCTACATCAATATTACACCGCCGCGAGGGAGCGTTTCCGTGACATACATTGATCCCTGCCAATCAGAAGCTTGTATCGATAAGTGATACTTGAGGATCTAAAAGCAGCAAAATTTAATAAGATTTTACGTTTTTTCATGTTAATTCTAAACATTCTAGTTTTCTAGTCTGTCAAATTCGACCTTGGACGAGAATTTGTTTTACTGCACTAGCTATTATTCAGGCGGATAATTGTGTTTATAGATTTATACACAAGACAGAAACCTTACTAGACAACATATCATACTGGTACGTTCTAAGGATAACTATAGGGCGGAATCTGTCGTTAACTATGGCCAAGCACTGGTTGACTGTACCGTTCTGGAAAGTAAAGAGAGTTGTGCTATGTGTAGTAAGGACGGACAACACCGTACACCACCTAAAATTGGAATAATACGACGGTAACAAATGCAGAAATTGCATTTTTAAGATGTTATTTCTCTGTAATTAAACGTTTTTTTGTTAAATATTTCGCTAATATAGAATAACATTTAAAAAAAATAGTGGAGTTGCTATTCAAAGTGGTGAATGGACTACAACGCCTAAGTAAGATTGGGGGGGGGGGATGGCCAAGTGGTTAAGGCGTCTGACATTCTGCTACCACTAACCCTCCACCACTGGGTCGCAGGTTTGTGGTCTACGTGGGGCAGTCGTCAGGTACTGGCCGTATGTCGTCGGTTTGTTTTCTGGGAACTCCGGCTTTCCTCCACCACCAAAACCTGCCACGTCCTTAAATGACATTGGCTGTCAATAGGACGTAAAACACAAACAAACCAAATCAATAAGTAAGGTTGTCTATTTACAGGTGATTTCGGTCTTTAGATATATTTCGATATGTGTCATAGACAAAGTTACTGTAAGTCCATGTCCTGATAAACGATACAACTTTCACCATTAGTCCGACCCTAAGTAGCCATGACGGTGGAATTATGCTGTAACCCTACTCTCCATTGCACTGCATATACGTACTGACAGTTTTTGTCGTATTAATTAAGCTATTTATCTCTGCCACTGGTATACGACTTACGAGTAATGTATGTTTACATAACTTTGATAAGAGTGTCGACATAACCTGTGTATATGATCATAAACAAACAATATCTGGGTAATATTTATGAATAACGAAAACTAGCGATAGCTCATATCTAAAATATAACTTTGTAAAAGAGAGAAAAAAAACTAGGTATAATACGGCTCTCCACAGGACCACATTTTAACGCTTGCCGCCAAGTTGGGACTTAATTCGGGTCGCTTCGGGATTGGCCGCCAGCTATATCAATATACTCACAACGACTACAGAGGTCATCCGATACTATTCGCCTTCGATGCAAACAGGTATATAACAAAACAAAGTTCTACATATGTGTTTGTTTGAATTTTAAACACGTACATTAAGATTGTTGAATCCTAAATAAATGATAGAGATGAGTTCAAGATCTTTGTTATAATAAGCTATTTTCATTAGATTTTTCGCAGAAATTCTTTGACTAATATAAGATATCTATTTTTCAAGTTTTACTGCGGCGCTGATGATTTAAAACATACTCATTAATAAAAAAGTAAATAAGTACAAATAATTATTCTCCAATTATTACTAGCTTAATTTTGTTTGATGAGTGGAAGTTCTTCCTGATGACACGTCAATAGCTGTACTCAGCTTTTATTCAATGAGAACGATCATAGAATAATTCTTGGTTTATACCTGAAGCGGTCAACATCTAGCAAACCTCACAGTATATGGCGCCAACAGTCATGACTGGGAAGACATTGCGGCCGGACCGTATCCCAATGGCGGAGCTTGCCACTTTATGACCTCAGACCACAGTTAATGCTACGTAATTAAAAAGAAACCAAATGTCATATAAAAATGATATTTCCCCATATAATTAACGTGCTTGATTTATTTGTGTGAAATTTACTTTGGCGGAAGTACATGGTATGCTGTTGGGCCGCTGAGCATGAATTTCAGTGTCATATCTAAGTACGATGGGATTATGTTGACATAATAAAAAATATCTTTATAATTTGCCCGTCATGAAAACAGCTCACCACAAATGTGTCTTGGATAGCTGAACAAACCCTAAAATGATCAGGTATCGCGCAAAATTATACATCATTGTTTAAAAGGGTGTTCTTTGTAAAGAACATACAGGGAACTTACTTTTGGTCTGAGGCTACACAGCAGGCACGGGAGGTATTTCCGGCCACAACACAGTCAATGTTCTCGACCAGATTAAGGAGCCTTCCTCTTTCAACGACCAGACAATCCACGTAGAATCCACCTTCCACTTTAGGTGATATTATTTACTTGTATGAACAAAACATGACAAAAATGACATCAATTGGAACGATTTTTATTTTATTTTTTCCAATAAAGACCAAACTGTGCTGACTGGTTTTATTGTTTCGGTCTTGTATTAACAGCATTGATATAAAAAAAACCTCAAACCTTGTTTGTATTAAACAATTAAAATCCAGGGAAAACATTGAAGATTCTATAGCGATGTTTGCTGCCATGCAAATGTTTCTCAATATACCAATCGCTTTGAAAAAGTGACATGCATTGTACATTAGCGACCTCTGTTTATTATTTCCGTTAGAAAGCAAAAACTAAAATATGCACCAAGCAACAGCTCAAGGCAAACATTTCATGTTATTACAATATGTATAGGTACTGACTGTGCACTTAATAATATGCTTCTTCGTTTGTCTCCAACTGGGACCAAACAGATTGCGAGACGTTGATGGTTGCCCCTGACGTCGAACTTTACCTCGTTTCAAATACGATTCACTTCCATGACAATAAGGTATTCGACGTACCTTCGTCCACGTTGGGAAACTGATTAATGTAACTAGCAATACCCTCCTGACGTTCTACTCCTCATTAAACGGACCCATGGTAGGGTATATCACACCAAACGGACAGGACGTATCGTACCGTCGTGTTTATTACTGGGCCACGACTATAGCCGGACACTGGGTACCAACCCTACGTCACTTCCGTGCCAATTCAAGTTGCAGGACGAGGCGGTTTGCTTGGGCGCCCATGGAAGTGGCTTGTATACGACCAGTGAGCGTACGAATGCGCCCTTTTATCATAACGCCAGAGAAACGTTATGTAATGCACCCTTAGATTGCATCACTGGGACATTGCTATTTATCGCAATATTATTTCATGCAGTCTTAATCATTAAACTGAAATCGTGATTATGATAGTGTTTCTGAAGGCATTCCTCATGTGAGCTAACTCTGCCCTTCTCTGGATGAATTTTATGCATACGGTTACTTCCCCTGAGTTATATGCATACGGTTACCTCCCCTTAACTTTGTATTGCCTATAACTGTATAAAGTCGGATTTGGCCGGAGGACTACCGCTCTTCAGGTAGCTTAATTGGTTAGAGATACCGTGTTGTGACGTGGAAGACCAGGGTTCGAATCCAAGTCTAGCCTCGTTGTATGTTTTACTTCCAGAACATTGTCGTTTTGTTGGTTTGTTTTGGTTTTTAAAAAATCCGCAAAATATTAGCTTCTTGTCGGATATGAGAGGATTTAATAGAGCTATTGTCATGTCAGTAAAAAGGTCCGATTTTAGTTTTTACCAGTGGTACCGGAATCCTTAAGGACACAGAACCCTCCACCGCCTTTTTGCTCTCAAGACAGACGAAATACACTTAGACCACCTCGATAAGTAATATCACATCTACAGTACTAATGTGATTATAGGCTATTATTAACTGTGTCATAGCCTACTTACACTGTTAGGTTTATGACCTGATTGGATGATAAGAGATAAGGCGTTCTTCTGTCGTTGTCGTCTGTCGGTCCAGGAGTAGCAATGGCGGACTTCTCGTTTCTGCATGTTCTGTCTCTAATCTTTCTCTCCACATGCAGCGCAGGTATATATTAACACGTGTTTTTACTTAATTAAGTTCGATATAGTATATTCATTTTGTTGTGTCGATTTTGGTGATGCATATACTGATAAAGATATTTTAATTTATTTTATGATATATCGTCTGATAGTATACCATCAAAGTTTAGAAGCCTCATACATTTGTAATATAATTTGTAAGTTATATTGTAAAATGTTAAGCTTAAAGATGTGTGATAGCTCAGGCAATACAAATTACTTGTGTGAGAGTTATATCCCTTGCCCATATGAATATCTTTAAACGATGGATTAAGCTTATTTATTGGCACGTTTTAAAGCAATGGAATAGTTCATATATAAATACTAATTCAAATTAATCTTAATTCAGGAATTAATAGTTTTGTTCCCTTCGAGGTTTTGAGATATTTCATCGTCGGAAATCTTAAAAAGCATATCAGTATCCTTACATTATCAAAAAAGTTACAACGTGTATAATGACCAAGATCATAAACCAGACTATATAAAATAATAACTTTTATATTTCTCATAAAGGAGATCACGCCCTATATCTTAAATCATTGTCAATGATTTTCATTCGTCAAGTTATTAATGGAGGCATTCGAAACTAATAAAATGCTAAGTTGTAGCTGTTTTAGTGTGTCTTTACTGTTTCGGTAAAAATGTATGTTGTACCAATACACAGAAACAGCATGACAACGGTTACGCTTACAACATGTCGATATGATATTTTGAATGTTATGATCATACAAGAAACATTCATTACATGTCGGACCTTTCCAATTTCAGAAAGGTTATTGTCTCAATCATAACAACGAATTAAAATACACAGGTCGTTATTTGAAATCATGAGAATTAGCGCGCATATATCACATGATCATTCACAGTGCCCCATTTTCACCATGGTCACCAAGTAGGGACGATCACGAGCCACTCGATCCTCGAAGCGTCCGGATTGGCCGCCAGCCGTATCCATAGCAACGTCCTGTATACTCATAACGATTCTGGTGGTTCTCCGAAGATTTTCGCTATTGATAAAAACAGGTAGAATACAAAAATTATTCAGCAGATATGACTGGTTAAATCAATTAATTAACGTACTCCTGGTGGGTAGGAAATGGTTGAAACATTTTGAAACAAACACGTTATAAATCCTTGAGTTACATTTTGTTACTGTTATTGTATTTATGTCATTAATTTCAATATTTATTAATGTGCCGTTTATCATTACAAGCATATCCGTTACCTGAAAAGATAGCTGCGATATAACAGGTTTAGTTATTGAATAATGAGTGACCTCTATAATGGTCCCTGCAGGTAGGGCGTAATAATTGTACCTGCTGCCCCCATTTAATGATCGTAAGAGGCGACTAAATTTGGTAACTGAACTTTTCTCTTCTTTCTAAAAGACTTTCTTCTTCCTAATGTCTCCCTTGACTTGCCTCACTTTTGGCCTTTTGTTGAGCGTTCGCCCCTGTGAGGAAGGCTTTTGGTTCTGTGTCCTGGCCGAGACATACCAGAGTCTGTAAAAATGGCTGTTTCTACTCCTGCTTAACGCTCACCGATTTAGGAGCGGGACGACTGGTTCGCCCGTTGTCAGTATAATGTGACTGGGTGGGGTGTCCTGCTGGGTGTCCTCGGCAGTATGTTTCAGTGATGTAGCCCTATAAAGTCGACCTCAGTTCCGCGCTATCACAAGGAGACAAACACGAATATATCTCAGCCTCCCAAAACACACACGCATACACTACACGCATGCATCTTGCACACATGGGCAGGGGATGGGGGCGTACTTAAATGACCAAAGCTGTTAATAGGACGTTAAACAATACCACCCCAAACCTCTAAAATGTCGTACTGTAGATTGAAATTCGGTATTTAGATCACAGATCATGAGTAAAATATACTCTTTTATGATACCTCCAGCGGTCAACGTCTAGCAACATTCTACATAGAAGGCGCCCACAGTCATGACTGGGAAGACATTGCTGCCGGACCTTGCCCCAATGGCGGCCACTGTATCTACGTGGGAGACACAGGCGGTAACGCCGGAAACTACGAAGCCAATTACATCTACAGGGTACAGGAGCCTTCCTCTATCTACGACCATAACCTCCGCGTGGATTCCATCCTTCATTTCAAGTGACGTATATTTGCTTCTAACATATAATGTTAATATAATTAAATAAAAACGAGATAACTATTTCTATAATGATGTAGATTCAAAAACGTTTGTGTGTGTGTTGGGGGGGGGGGGGGGGGGCAATGAATCTTTGCAGTGTTTCCAGAAAACCCCAAAACAGTTGGTGGTACCCTCAGTTTGTCAAGAATTACCCCATGTAACTAAGTACTTAGGGGTACAGAATCCTGAAAATGTATCAAGTATATCTCCAAATGTAATACTCAGTGGGAACACTGCTTTGTGCTTGCTCTTCAAAACCACTAATGAGCATTTCAATCGAAACATATCGAGAGAAAATGTTCCAGTTTTAACCGTGAAAACTGTGTACTGATGTTCAACATTTTTCTTTAGATGGGACCAAAGAGACTGTGAGACGTTGATGGTTGCCCCTGACGCTGAACTCTACCTCGTCTCAAAAACGTCCCACTCACACGATAGCAAGGTATTCCACGTGCCAAAGTCCGCGTGGGGAAACTCCAATCCCGTTTATGTGTCTAGCAACACTCACATAGCGTTCTACTCTCAATCGCCCAGTCCCGTGGGTGGGGATATCTCCCCCGACGGCAACGAAATACTACTTAAGACCTACGGTCACGTGTATTACTTTAGCGTCCAAAACCATGATTACATCGGGGCACTAGGAACCAACCCCACTGCGCTTCCATATACTGGTGAGAGGCAGGGCGAGTCGGTTTGCTGGGACGCCCAAGGAAGTGGCTACTACACGACCAGCGAGGGTGCAAACTCGCCTCTTTATTATTACGCGAGATACCCGTAATACCGCACAACACGGTTTCACTAACAAAACCTTGACTGTAAAACTAACAACACACATACAGACTTGTGTGAGTATAAATTGTAAATCGTTAGAATAAATTCTATTTTGAATCAAAAGTTTTTTATAAAATTTCTTGTGTCGGGACATTTAATGTATCAAGTTTTTTTCAATATAAGATGTTTGTGCTCTGCCAAAGCCCACGTCTTCGCAGGGAGGATTGGTGTTTACTGATCCATGATTGAAAGAGGCGACTAATGTAAATAACCCTGGCCGTCGTGGCGAAAGACGAGTGCGCTATCCACTGCGCCATCCGTCCACTCATATTTTAATTATGAAAGCATGTACTCAAACTCAGGGTTATCATTATCGGTAGCACACTAGACTGAACATGGGATGGAAACTAGTACATATAGCAAATTCAGCAAAACAAAATACGTCTTGCAATATATAACGGAACAAAGCGCACCATGCCTTGGGGGCTTCCATATGTATAAAAAAAATCTACTGAATGCTTTCCTAAAGAACATTTTGATCTTGAGTTATATAATATAATATCATGAAAGCGCAAAGTTAACATCAAATGGCAGTATGAATACGTACTTGTGATGCATATGAAGAACATTAGGTCCAGGACACAGAAAAACGCGGAATATTCAGTGTCCAACAGTCGGCAAGGTGGGTTTTTTAAGTTTTGTAACATGAATATCCGTTTTTTATAGTTGATCATTTCGAAAAAAATACAATGCAGTTAAACCTGTACTGTACAGCTTAAATCGATTGAATATTCTGCAAAGTTATTTACATGTCGATTTATTTCCAGGATCATCTGTTTCTTTTTTGCAAAGTACTGTTTCCTTGTGATATCTTGTTTCAGAACTCAATGACTTTTTAATGAGTTTTCGTAAATAAATACAGCTGAGTTTATTACATGTCGATTTATTTCCAGGATCATCTGTTTCTTTTTTGCAAAGTACTGTTTCCTTGTGATATCTTGTTTCAGAACTCAATGGCTTTTCAATGAGTTTTCGTAAATTAATACAGCTGAATTTATTTTTACAAATGTTATAGATATGAAAGATACTGCACATAAATACCTGTATCTGTAAAAAAGAAACGCATTAATCACAAGTTCGATCAATTCACGTTTTTGCCGCCAAACTGATACTCTGCATCAAAACTGTTCATTTTCGCTATGTATATAATTCTCTTACAAACGCAGTTAAATAAATAAGCTCTTAGTTCAAAACTCATTTTTAAGTATTGCCTTGGATTAAACACGTGACTAGCTGAAAATAATGGCAACTTCATTGGTTTTTGTTACGTAAAATTTCAAAATAATAAATTTATTTAAGGTACATATGTACTACAACCGCAACGTGTTACCACCTGTAATCATTATTATGTATATCAAACAATAGAATCGTTCAATAATAATAGATATAATAACGAGATACATTATAAAACAAATGTATTCAAAACAATTTCTTCCAAAGGAATGAATTAACAAATATGTTGTTTCTTTTGTTCCCTTTTTGGAAATTACATGCCAACAATACAGTAAACGTATTATTGTTAACGAGCCAAAACTCCGCTTTATCCGGTCCCGCATTCATGAAACTGTTTTCATGCTCTAGCATTGATTACGCTCAAACCGAATTTCTTGTAACTCGCTTAAAGCATGTCAAACGATCTTAAAGTCAAATTGAAAACATTGAAAACAGCATTCGGTTTTAAGTCTCTTAAATAATAACCGCAACAACAATCAGGCTTGAGCACAAGATCAATGCTTGAGCTTGAGAACGTACTCTTGAATATGGGCACAGGTGATCGTAACATTCCCAATGTCTCTAAAATGATTGCCTAATACTAGTTGTGACTACTGCAAAAGTGTCTACCAATTAAATTGTCAAATTTATACCAATAAATCGTCATTTTAGTGGTCACTCGGGCCTTAACCAATCTGAAAGATTATTGTAAAATACACTCGAATAATCTCATATCGCTTGATTTTATACGGAGAAAAATGGCAAGCGCGTGAAAAGGAGCGCAGGATAATATTAAAATGAAAATTTGACACTTTGAACTGACAGCGGCGTAGACATTTTTGCTGTTGCGTGAAGCACCTCGACAAGTTGTGTGGTCACCATTAGGATCTCACAGGTAAATATGCTGGTATATTCTCATTAGTGTGTCATGTGGATTTGTTGTCACTACCCGAATCTTTGGTGTGAGGACGTGACATTACTTTGATTGCGCTTAGATTTAGCTTTCCCTTCTAAACTACCTGATCTTTTTCTCCTTGTACATTTGCAACGGTATCCATGTTAAGCTTTCTTTTGTTCATATTTCGCCTTAGTTTTATTTAATTGGGTTCAAATTACGATTTTGTAGACATTTGGTATTCCGTTGTTATTTTTTTTGCAAATCTAACATCTATTTATTCTCTATAACCTGTTCAACAGTAAAACAAAAATATATTTTCTATTTCGGAAAAATGTATCTTACGTGGATCAAGGATATCCCCATGTCCATAATCAGAAACAGTAATTCTTGGAGATGTGCCGTGCGTTATTTTTGTACATGCCGTTAGGTTACTACTTTGAACAATAAACAATCCATCTTAAACAGAAACAGATAGTCCAAAATGATACTGAACGAAAGCAATTGAACCACATCGATCATTCTAGAGGTTTTCCTCGGAATCCATCGAATCGATACCGGCAGTGACAAAAGGAAACTGATCTTCATCCAAAACCTCGCACCTCTATACTTATGTTGTCTAACAAATGTTCATTGAAAGACTGAACGAATACATACTTACGGAAAGGGATGGAAGGATAGCGACTTCGATACCAATCGCCGTCCTTATAAATTATTTCGGAAGGAAGTGGGGAGAGAGTTTTCATTTATATATTACACCATCAATCCGAGTTGGCGAACGAAGTTTCATGATTATGTTGGCGGTAAGCGATATTGCAATTAAAACAGGGAATTATATATGGTGTAATTCGGATTTCTGTTTGTTAAAGGCAAGAAATGACTCTGTTACATCATTTCTGAGAATGTAATAAATGTTGACAATTTCCGGATGGGTTTATTAATGTCGCTTCTATCACCTTAAAAATGTACTTCCGACGGATATATACATGTGGCGATCAAGGTTACAACAAACCTCGGTACTAAAATTCCACTAGCATCTTGTATCTTAAAGATGAACGCAAGACAGAAATATTTTATGACATCTATAGAATATGGTAATAGATACGGCATGGACAAAATAAGTTACGCTTTTATGAAAGTGATAACAGAGAACGACTCACTCAAAAAAGTATTCGACCGCACAATTTATATTACACAAGATATGAAAGGCAAACGTCAGACATAAAATACACATAAGAAAAATATAAACAGACAGATATAACATTGGATGAAATCAATACATGAAAAATTGTAACCAACCAATATAAACATCGGAAAAAATAGAAGCGCCAACTAAATAGAACATTGGACAAAATATAAATATTGGGAGATGCTTAAACATACGATAAAAAAATAAACCAGCTACAAAATCATACATGATCAAATATAAACACCAGGTAAAGTAATAAAGAACACGAGGCAAAGTGTAAACATTAGACAAACTTATTCCACGAAACGCGACATCACTATTAGACAAAATGATCGACAACCAATATTGTACGAGTTTCCGTAGATTTGCCATTACATAACACTGGGATATACTCCTGTCGGTAACTCGAGCAGCAAACAGATTGTATTAGTTCTCCAGAACGAATCACGAAAATCGAATCTGTCTTTTTCTGCGTGAAAAAAAAGTATCGTCGTCTGAATAGAGTTTTGGTGTAACTTGTTATAGATAAATAAAGCCGCACCTAAATAAGCTTTACCATAATAATATAAGCTTATTAAGTTGAAGATAAACGTTATACAGACGATGGTGTGAGTTCCGACCAGTGACATGAAAGCTTATCTGGTTATCTCATTCACCCCCAAAGACACATTTGAACTCTTCAAATTCAAATGTTTGAGTAGTTTATTATGTAATTTCAAGGGTGAATGAGTTAAACTAATATTAAATCTCAGTGCTTTACTGGGGCCGAGATCAGTTGTAAAACACAGGAAATGGTATCAATTTGTCAGGTTAGGCTATGCTGTCAGGAGCCACATGTACCACGGAGTGGAAATCCATTTATTATCTAAAAGATTCAGGTGTGAAACAGTATACAGCTATTAACAACAGTACAAGCAAGATCAGATACCTGCATTTCAAAATAAGATAAACCAAATAAATGTGAACGTCAGACACTCACAAGTCATGGCACCTATGAAATATATAGTTTTGTAATTGATGCGGTGTACAATAACATTACACTGTATCATACAGCTGGTTCGTCTTTAATATGTGATATAAAGGACTCGCACAACTAAATCATTTACTTTATGTTGATACTAAACATTTGAGCTAAAAACGTTAATATTTGAAGTTAACACTAGTGGCAACTATCTAGATTCACAGATTCCTACCTGACAAAGGCTTAAAAAGGCATTTTTGGTGAGTTTGTTGGGAAATAAGAGCGCTACAGGCGTCTGCTTTGACAGCAGAAAGTTTACAAGCCAAACCGGTGAAGTGGGACGGGAAACACCCACTTACATTTGACCACATATCAATCCGCCATCACATTTTAAAAATCTACTAAAACTATACGTTTTGCTAAAGTTTAATATCTGTAAATTTCATTCAATGTAAAAAATGTCAAAAATTACCTATTTAAATTACTCAGAGGCACTGTATTAAACCGGAAAAAGGTAGGAGTTACAATAGTATGGAACATTTACTGATCGGCTGATTTAGTTGTGCGAGTCCTAAAACGAATTCTGCTTAATCTGTTGGAGATTACAAACACGACAAGGCAGGCCAGGATATATAGAAAGTCCTCTATATTCCTAATTGTGATGGTCTAATGTAGAACACCATTGAACTTCAACAAAATATAAGGTGAAACAGTTTCATTTTGGACGTCGATAATATGATCAAAATCACTCCGAATATTGAAGAAATCGGTACCATTCTAGATTACAATCACAATCACATTCGTAC